ATCAGTTTGCTCTATAGGTACAATAAACATAGGCAGCTGTAAAATAATTGATGTGCCTTTTGAGAAGTAGGCAGCAATGGAGACCACTACAACTTGAATAGGCATGTTGCAGGTAAAGCAGCAAGAAAATCTTTAAATTCAGTTGAAGTTTCGTAAATAAAGAGATGTTGTTGCAGGGGATGGAGAGAGAAGAAAGCTTTTTAAATTGAGAAGTTAACGTTGGTGGGTGTCTGTCTGTCTTGTAGGTACATATGTTCTGACAACTGCCCTGCTGCCTCTCCTGGAAAAAGAAGCTGATGCCAGAGTGGTGAGTCTGTGGTGCTGTTGAAAAGTGATTTTACTATTCTTACCTTCTGGTTAGTGACAGCATTTGTTTTGACTGTGCTAGCATTGCAGGATTAGTTATAATGCTGTAAGCATCTCTAGAATCCTCTTGGATTTTGCTAACAGCAACCTCCTTCTCCAAGGCAAAGCTCCTGCCTGCTACTCTCAACCCTTCATTGGAGAGCAGAGTAAAACATCTCCTTTGGAAACTTCCCCTGCAACAAGTGATCTCTTGCAGCATAGTGGAAAATACCTTGAACAGGAGTATATGCTTAAAAGAACCTTACAGGTCTTGGTGTAAAACAGGACAGCAGGTGCACTTTTTAAATGAAATTTCCCAAGTTTTGTACAGTGCCTCTTGTTTTCTAATTAACTTCTATAAATGCTAAACATACAAACTATAAGTAGTGCTATTCTGCTACTTTCTTTCTCCCAATTACTTTTTAAAAGGAAGAAGCACAAAGTTTCCTGATGGAGTCGACACCACTTTGAATGAAAATCACTTTCTAAAAATAAATTCTGTTTCTTCCAACTCGTCTCCAGGTACGCTCCACACATGAGCACAAGCATAGTGCAAAGAGTATGCAGAGGAATCCTGCTCCTAGGGACTTCAAAATATGGCCTCAAGACCATGTCGCGTGCATGAGTGCGATTGTGGGGAGTTCCTCATTTTTCATTCATTTGCTTTTCATTCATTTGATTACAGATAACTGTCTCTTCTGGGGGCATGCTAGTTCAAAAATTAAACATATCTGACTTGCAGTCGGGAAATGGGACATTTGATGGAACTATGGTGTATGCACAAAACAAGGTACAGTCCATGATTTTGAAAACAAAGCCCAGCACTTGTTTGCTAGGCGTCTTATGCCACCTGATTTGCAAAGACCCTGTTGTTCAGCATTGCTTTCCCATTGCATCCAACCCATACAGAGCTATAGTCTTCAGGAGTACGATGGCATGCACTTATGAGTGCATACCATCTTGTGCGGAGAGCATGGCTAGACTGTCATTTGATTTTATTTAAATCTCAGAGGGAAAACTGTCTTTAGCTGACAAACACTTTCTGTCTGCTTACTTCTTACCTATGATCTGCAGCCAGTAGACGTGGTCAGTAAAAGCAGTGTAACCACTTTAAAAGTAAGCAGTGGCCAGGATATTTATTGCAATGACCATGGTGGTCTCTGACAAAATTACCAGTAAATCCAATCAGGGCGAGCAAGGGTATATTTCTGCTCTGCATAAATGCTCTGGTATTTCTAGCACTTTTAATGTAGTTCACCTCCCTGGGAACTAGCTTAGCGGACAGGCTATTGAACTTGATGCTAGTTTGGCTCTTTTTGCTCTATCCTAGAGACAGCAAGTTGTCTTGACAGAACAATGGGCAAAAGCTCACAGGAACATCCATTTCTCTGTTATGCACCCCGGCTGGGCAGACACTCCAGGTAACAGCTGCTTGATGCTCTGAATGTATTTTTTTCTGAAAAGTAGAAGGATTAGTCTAAAAGCAAAGAGAAACGAGACTTTCTGGTAGATTTCTACAACAGCTGCAGTGATTTCTTGGCTCCAAACTGGTGCTTTGAGGTAGTTTTTTACCCCCTTGGTAGCTCTGTTCTGCACAGTGTCTGCTATCTGTGTCTAGCCAGAGAATAATAACGGGCAATGAATGGTTCCAGCCCCGCACAAATGCACAGCAGAGCCATTGTGCATTAAGGTAACCTTTAAGTTATGTTTGTAGTGGGACTGCTAAACACACAAATAGAGCTTCTGCCCTTGTAAGTACCAACAAGGAGACGTTGGGAATTTGTGAGGGCACATAGGAGAAAGGAGCATGCACCGTTGTGCAAGCCCTGTTCCTCCAGTCTTCCTTTAAACATTTACTGCCATCGAGAAGCTGCATGTTTGGCCAGACAGCTCTTTGTCTGAGCTGCAGCTGTTCTTCAACGACCGTGTCTCGGCAGGCGGGCCAGCATCAGTTCTCCAGTATGCATGTTGCGTTCTGCTGCATGCTACCAGCCCCAAACACCCAAGCTTGGGTTGCACACTAGCGATCTGATCCCTAGGTCTTCTCTAGGGATGCAGTTTCCCAGATTTGCTTCTGATGACAGAAGCATTTACCCTGTCTACTTTATGCTTGAAAATTGCCCTTTTCAACTAAATATCCTAGCATTTTTTTTTGCTTTAAAATAAATGTATTTTTACACATCCTTTGTGGTTTTCAAACCAAATGAACCATAAAGTTATCCCACCTTAAAGTTCAAGGACTCTCCAACCCGCAAAAATAAACAGCTGCAGGTGATGGGCCTTCTTCAGTCATCACCTACTGGACAAAATAAAAAGAAACTAGAGTGTAAACATGAATTTAGTTGGTTTAGGTATTGTTTGCCGTTCAGTTTTTAAATGCAATGCTGCAACTACTTTCCTGAAACTGGTGAGACAATAAGAGCTAAAAATCCTGTTAGAGTATCTGGGTTTTAGTATTTATGTTTCGCCATGTCTTACTTCTTTGCAGTTTAGAGTGGAATTGGCTCAGGAGCCTCTAGCTGATCCTGTTCACAGCTCCTATTAGTTTTGTCCCTGTAATTTGAGTCAAACAAACAACTGGTGGATCATCTGGCAGTTTAGCACACTATTCCACCACAAGTCATCGTACTCCTAGCTATGGGGAAATATTTGTTCTTTCATAAACTCTGAGATGCCTTGTCTTCTTCCTACATTCACAACGTCAATTTTAAGCTGCTCTTTTCCTTTTTTAATCAAAAAAGCTTTGCATGACAGACCACCATTCCATTGTTATTCTTTATAGCTGTGAGATCGTCAATGCCAGATTTCTATCAAAAGATGAAGAATACTCTGCGCACAGAGGCCCAGGGAGCCGATACTGTTGTATGGTTGGCGGTATCACCTGAAGCAACAAAATTACCGAGCGGCTTGTTCTTCCAAGGTAAGGCAGCAGTCTCTTACATTGCGTAGCAGTGGAGATCCCTAAGCTGCCTGAACTGTAGGATCCCCATCTGGCCTGGAGGGGGATGAAACCTCGACCAGGCAACCTGGTTCAAAGAATAAAGTGTTTCTCATAATTCCAAGACTAAAGGTTCAAGTGAGCGTTGTGCAACCAGAGAATGACTGTGTTAAGGTATTATGTTCCTACTTTGTCCTCTGAAGTAGCTGATAGAGACTTCAAAGCATTTCTTTAGGGAGCATTGGGGTTTTTTTTTAAATGAAAATGGCTGCATGCTGGGCTGTGCCAAGGGAAGGTGAATCACAGCAATCAAACAGCATCTTTTATGCTGGGAAATGAGCATTGGGGGTTGGCTTTGCTTTGACAGGGTCTTCTTCGTACCGTTCCATCCTAGCTAAAACTGCCAGCCCCCCTGTTCTGTGACATTGGGCAGAGACTTGAGCACAGTGTCATCTTAGTAGGAGCAGCTGGAAGCATAGATGTCTTAATGGTGATGCAAGTCAGTCTGGTAGGAGAAAGGAAAATCTCGGGGTAATTGCTTACAGGAGCCCAGTTCTTTTGTTGGATGTGGCACTCAATTCCTGATCCACTGAATTTCTGGCAAAGCATGCAGGAAGTTCAGACTTTTCTGAAGCTGGGTTGATTTTGTCCCTTCTGTCACCTCCCAGACAGTCACACAGTGTTGGTTGACAGATATTTAACCAGACCTTTTTCATGTCATCATGTGGTACATGCAGAAACCCTACATCCCAGTTGGTCAGTTGTCTTTGTAGAACCAGGCTTTGTCTTTTTTGTACACCTATCACCTTTTTCTGGTCCTAATGCTTCTGCTCAGTTGTTCTTGCTCTAGATCATAATTCCACCAGGCTCTTGCCTTTGGCCTTTGTTTACCCCCAGCTTTAGTAAACGGGGAACACACCTTGGCTCTTTAACTATAAATAATTACTTCTGAGAGCTTTGGTCTTGGCATGACTTCTCTTAAGGCTGTGAGAGAAGTCCTGTGTCCATGTCCTGTGGATGTGTGATGGATGGAATAGTGATGCAATCTGTTATTTCTCTTCTCTGACTGCCCTTTGGAAGCCCTTAAGACTAGAGCCCTCTGACTGCCCTTAGTACGGGCCTCTTCAGGCCCTTTCAGTAAAGGGCTTTGTGTGCAGGAGCACTTTACCACAGACCCTGCTCTTCTGGACCTAGACGGTCCATTTCCTGAATCAGTCACACCTTCCCTCCATTTCCTTCATTCTCTCTTATTCAGTTCCTTTTGAGTGCAAACCAAAGCCAGCAATTCTTTTTTCTTGAGGGAAAAAAAATGGGAAGTGAGAACATGACTTATACAACCAGAATTCTCTGCATCTGCCAAAAAACGTATGACAGAGTCCTGCTTGCCAAAGACTAGAAGCATCTTCTCCATGATGCTGAACTTGGCTTTCACAACAGAGTTCTCAAACTTTAGCACAGGCTACTGGAAGCACTACATTTAGGTGGGAAGCAGCTCATATTCAGCGGTGGAGAAGGGAACGTTCCTCTGCATGTTTCACTCTTCTCAGTTTTCCATGAGCAGAGGTTATGTGGTGTGTGCAGCCACTTACAACATTTGCTCTTAAGAGAGCAAACATCTCTGCTCCCCTAGGAAGCCTGATGGCAGCCTGATACGTTTTCAGAGAAATCTGCTGCCCAGTGTTGCAACAGCTTGTTCTTTTATTCTCAGCTGGCCACCACGGAAGTTGGACTTAATAAACAGACAAACAGTGCTGCACCGGTGCTCTGACAGTTCCTTCATAGACTTCTGAGAGCATTGTCGTAATGTTCCCAGGCTCTACATACCATGTTTTTTGGAGACAAGAATCCCTTAGAATGGATGGCGATAGAGCTATGCAGAGTGAGCACAGAGTATGAGATTCAGAAAACCAAATAAAGCATCAAATTGGGCAGATTTGGTCAGACCTCTTTATGTTACTTCTGGTGGTTGAGCAATTAGTGTCAGTTCTTTGGCATTAGAATTTAACCATTATTTTTACGGATGAAAGTAAGCATTTTAAGATTGAAAATAATCTAAACTACAAAGTCTCAGCTGGGAAATTCGTGTAGCACTAGAAACATTACCCAGGAGGCAAGGAAAAACCCTGTCTCATGCTGCAAAAGCAACCTCCACCTGCAACAACAGTCTCATGTTATTGGTCTTTGTCTACAGCTGGTGACAGAAAGCAGGCATAACCCCACAATAAGGGGGTTCCTTTATCTATCCTGTCCCTGGCTGCAAATGAGGTCTTGCTCCCCAGTCTAAGTCATATTGTGCTAAAGAACAATCACCCTAGTTCCAGAATACATGCTAGTGAAATTAGTTTAATTTCTGGTTTGGAAGATATCCTTAACCAACATTGTTTACAGATACCTGGAAGGTAAGTTTCCTGGCTTGGGAAGGAATAGGGGCAGTATACAGCCTAGCAGAAAAATCTCCTTTGTGCTAGAAAAGATAGTTAAATGTACCCATAAGGCTTTGTTTTATTTTTAACTTCCAGACAGGCAACCAGTCCCAACGCACTTACCCCTGGCAAGCACCCACAGTCCACCAGAGGATGAGGAGAAGCTAATGGAGGTGCTGGAAGAGTTCTCCCAGAAGTTTAAATCCACTTCTCCAGCAACTTAGTGTTACTGCTGATGCAGCATAACCGCAAAGCTTCTAATTACACAGTGACAATACTGTAGTGCGCCTGCTGTTGAGGGGAAGTAGGATGCTGTAGGCCTGTTAAAAATAAATTGTGTTCAGGTGTTCCCATCATGAGAGAGGGTGGGGCCTGCGACATTTTTTTTCTGCTGCTGAGAGTCTCTCCCATTGTGAATATGCACCTCCTTTCTCAAGACACAGTAAGGTTGTATTCTTTGCATTGGAATTAAAAATTGGGATGCATTGAAATAAAACCCAAGGCTTTGTGAAGTTCCCCAAAATCTTTTAAAACACTCAGCATAGAGAGAAATGCAGAAGAGTGTACCTTCAGCAGCCTTCGTGAAGGACTTCAGGAAAGAAGTCGTAAATGTTTTAAACAATGTTTAACTACTGTATTTTGCCAGATTGGTGGCTTTCTTCACTGCATGAGGGTGACTGGGCTCAAACCAGGAATGCAAAAACTCTCTTGCATCGCCTGCTTAGTTTAAATGGAAGGATTCCTCATGGCCTTCGGTTTCTATACATCAATGCTGGTATGCAGAAGTGATCTGCTTCCTCATGTTTAAACAGCAAGAATTTAGGAACGCTGCCAAATGCCTTCCACATTACTTTACGGGGCCAGAGCTGAATATTATCCATTTATGTCAAGACACCACGAAGTAGGAGGTTTCAACGCATACATACTACAAGACAGGGTTGGATCCGGCAGAAAAATGGCTGCATGAAATGACTGCAAGACTCTAGGCACGAAAGGAAACAACATTCTCAGCTGTATGTGCTTGCCATTTCTGTGAAAGATCAAAGGGAATTGCTTTTATCATTACGAATGGATTAAGAGGGGGAAGGGAACACTAGGTGGCATAGGTTGTAGAGGAGAAGTCCATCTCCTGCTGAGAGGGTTGTATTTTGCCCAGAACTGTTTATTTCTAGACACAGAGGATGGGATTTATCTTACCTGACCTGTGAACATCTGAATTACTCATTGGGATTCTCACTGTAAATCAGTAGAGAGAAAACAGGCTTTTTCACAGTGATTTACTGGATCTAGTTTAAGAAACAACCCCTGCATTCCTTCATCTTTCTACTGGTGGTGAAGACCAACAGCTCAGGCTAAGACATGCAGGTGGGATTCATTTTGTCTGACTTATTTCAGATTTACTGCAAGGCCAAGACTATTAATAACAAAGGTGGTAACGCATTTTCTCCTGAACCGAGTGTGTTTGGTAGCAAACTGCATACAGAACCCAACGAAGTTGCACTACTGTTTTACACATGGCTGCCGACCAGGGTGGTGGGACAGAAGACCCAGACACAAATATAACACAGGCGTTCTTGAGCTCTCTACAGTGACAGGTAGCTAAAGGCCGTGCTGATGGGCAGAGGAGAACTCGTTATGTCTGCTTTACATAATTTAGGGTCCGAAAAGTTAACCTGACTGGCTGATGGTATTTACTCATTATTCAAAGACATGCTATTAAGTATCAATTTAGAAAAAAACTTCTCTTTCCAGCCTATTATCAGTCTCCTTGGAAATAAAAGCTTTACTGTCAGAGAGGTCCTGAAATAAGTTTTCCCATGATAAGTGGTGCTGAGACACGTCAGCTTTTCCTGAAGAGGCTGGATCAGCATTCAGACTATGGCTTCGTTTTGGAAACTCAACTCCTTTTCGCACTAGTGAAAGAAAACAACAGCAAGGCTTGTACAGACGTTTATTTCCTCAACGGCTGGTATTAACATTTCACGTGGTTCAAACTCTTAAATACAATTACTGAAAATAAGAGCATGGCTGAAAGCATATATAGTAACTACACTTCTCTATCCAGTAGCTGCGAAGCTAAGACAGACATTTGCATACCTCAGTATTTAAGTCAAGTTGCTTCTCAGCTCTGCAGTACGGAAGAAAAGTTTAATGACTGGTATTTAAATAGTTCATAAAAATAACCCAAAGTACACAATAGATATAAAACAGATATTTTAGTCCACATTCTGTATTTATGTATTTGAATAGCCTATATTTTTTTCTTCTCAGACACAGCTTAAAAATTAAGCCAAAAGTATGCTTTAATCAAAGTTTGGTCACGGTGTAAAAGAGGCAGATACTAAAGTTTAAGAGCACTTGTGATTTAAAAAGAATTAAAACACAGGTCAGCGATTAGAAACAAAATTTGGAGCCTCCCACACTGCGGTATTATGGTCCCAATAATGCTTTATTTCAGCCCTTTTCCACAAGAGCAAATGCGGCGCGCGGCTGTAAAGCCAGCGAGATGCTTTGTGTTAATGCAATTCAGAACGACTTGTACCTGCACATAAGCATATACGTTTAGTGCCACCTGTAAAATTTTAGGAGCAAGAGAAAAACAGTGTCCAGTGACAGATTACCAGAAACACAAGGTGGCGTGAATGCTTGCAAAGTGGCGCATGCCGAGGGCTTGGTACGCACCCGGTTTATAGGAGCCGAACTACAAGCACAGCAGCAGTTCCTACTCCTACTGCCCTTCCCTTTCCGCACTCAGCCCAACACTCCTTGTGTCAGCTTTCAGGCTTCTATGGCTCTGACCTCAGTTGTTTTTCACATTCCGAAGACTTTCCCATTTTTCTTCATTTTGTGAAGTCGCCTGGTCAGAAGGTTTTTGCTCTGCAAAGAGGAGGGTAGTGCCACAGACCTCGTGCAGAGTCGGTTCCCCATGTCCTAATGGAAAAGCATGGCCTGCAACAGTGCAGTGGGACCGACGGCAGTGATACAGGGGCCGCCGAAATGTTTCTCTGTCTTGGGTGAAAATTTTAGGTCAATGTAACAGATACCGGATGGTCTTGTAAACCATTTCCTCTTCTAAGTTTCATTTCTGGGCTGTGTTTATTCTTTGGAAAAAAGAAACAACCCAAACTAAAAAACAATCTGTGGTTGATTAAAGGTATAAACAAGTGGTTGTCATCTGCCTTTGAACAGCAGGGCATTCCCATATGTACCTCACTATTTTGGAGTAAACTGCAAATACCAACTGTTTGTATTTGCACCAACACACCTGCCCGCTTCTGTGCTGTCCTAACGCTCCACACTCGCTGTTCCACTGGCTGGGAACAAGCTGCAAGTGGGGACACCCCTTCCTGTTAAACAAGAGTTGGGTGGGACGTTGAACATGCCCTGCCTGGGCTCAGAGGGGAGTTTTGCTGTAGACTTCAACGTAAACAGACTTAAGTCAGTGGTGAAAAACTCTGTGTAAACAGTTTATTTGGTGGGACACAGTCCTGGGCCAGGCATTTCAATTTTCAGTTCAATCACTGATTGTATTTTTGGAGTAACAGAGCATTTTTTTTAAAGCCATAGCAGTAGGAGCATTACCAGTTTTCATTAACCAATGTTTAACTCCATGAGTGGAGAGTGAACACGGAGTTATTCTTTCAGAGAACAACCTGGCGGTCATTGACTCCAGTGGAGAAGGGCAGCTATAAACCAGTTTAACCCGTAAGTCCCTTCTTCCATTCCCTGTGTGTGTTGCTCTCTCGCACTGCATGCAAAAGTAAAGCTCCCCTTCTCATGACACCAGATCCTACTTATCTAAAATCGGTGCTGGTCAACATCCAGCCCCCCCACAGCCCCTCATCTTCTTAAACGAGCTGTTATCACTTGGAACGGCAGCGGGAAGCTTCAGATCTCTCCTGGCTCAGCTCAGAGCACTTCCCTGCTGGTCCATCAGGCTTACCTTTCTCCTTCTGGCTGCACTGGGGCAGACGGGTGACTGATTACAGGAGATAACTGTGAAATGCAAAATAAGGTGACTTGAAAACCCTGTGTTCCTGCAATCATCCAAACAGCACCCGTCCAGACAGTGAGAGAAAGGCGGCGTTGAAAAGGCAAAGAGTCTGATGGGGAGTAAGTGTAACAAAAACACTTCTGGGACTAAATGTGACCAAATCCAAGAACTTGAATTTGTGAAGTAGATCAGTATGTATGTTCCTCTCTCTAGAGGGAGCCATCAGATAAACGTTAGGAAAAGTGATGTATTCTTCTGAAGGAAACTTGTTCTCTCACAGAGTAGAATCTAACGCACAGCCTTACAGAGAGACACTGCCAGCCTGGCCTTTTCAGCCTGCCGTCACGAGAAACAACCGGAACCTTTGCTGTGCCAGAAGTGGCAGTGGTACTTCACCGATAAAAATGTTGCTAGAACAGAGGAAGAGGGGTAAAACCTGCACTGGTGCAAACTTCAGGCAGCTGCCACGATGCAACGTTTTCCTTGATGGTTAAAAATGTTTTTCTTGGGCATCTTCCCTTTAATTTCCAGCTGAGAATCCACAGAGAGCCCTGGGGCGATGCAGAAAATTACACAATTTGTTCCCTGCCCAAACGCCCTCCTTCCCTTGGCTGCTCACCCACTGCCAGGCGGTCAGAGTGAGAATCTGTCGTGGCAAAGGAATGACCCCACTTGCCCCTACAATAGTTGCCGGTTTTCTGCCAACTCACAGGACAGGTAGATGAGCCAGTCCAGTCAAAACTCAATAACCCAAATTCCTGGTTACAAATTGACACACACACACAGAAGGGAAAGTAATAGCCAGCAGCTGATAGAAATTAATTTAGTGGGGTTAAACTGGCACAATTTATTCAGCGATGTTGGAGACACTTATTTACATAATGGCACAGAACTAGAAAGTGTTATAATTAGCAGAAAAGATAGTCAAATTGCTGAGCAGTATTCCTAGAAAACACACACCCGAACAAAAGCCAGTAAGACTTTTTTTAACGTAAAATCCCTCTACTTTGAAAGACAACAAAGCCCACAAGATACTGGTCATTATGGTGAAGTTAATTTACCACGTAGAGAGTCAGAAGCAATGCTCAGCCTTTAGAAAACTAAACCACACCGGAAACTAGTGGTAACAAGAAAGATTAATAAGAGTTTGTGCAACACATTTTTTTCTGAAACTTTCTTGATTACTTGGTGGTAGCAACCCCACTGAATTTTCTTGGGACAGGACAAAGT